ATATATATATATATATATATATATATATATATATATATATATATATATATATATATATATATATATATATATATATATATATATATATATATATATATATATACTTTAATTTAATTCTAAAATTTTTTTTTGAATAATTGTTTTTAATCGTTATTGAATAAAAAATAATAATGATTTTTTATATTTTTAAAAATTTCTAGAGTAAACAAAAAATATTAACATTGATAAACACAAACCCATGTTAATTATTTAAACAACAATTTTGTTTTGACAAGCAAAGAAAAATTTAGGTTTTTAAATTCTTTTTAAACTTATTTTGTTTAGCGTTTCAACTTGCGTTTTATAAAAATATAAAAAAGTTTTGTCTGCTTTGAGTATATTTTTGATACATAGTTTAAAACGCGTTCGCCAGGAATTTAATTCATAAATTTTTTATGTTATTGTAAAAATATTTTACTTTTTAAACAAATCACAAAGAAACAGAGCTATAGAGAAAAATCGTTTTTAACGATTAAATCTTTTTTTTTTAATTCTAGGAAATTAAAAAAAAAAATTAAATTAAATATAATTCTTAATTATGCAAACTCTTTTGTTAATTATTCTTAAAACAAAAAAACAAATACTTCTACGCAAAACTTTAATCATGCAAACTTAAAAAAATACTCAACTGAAATAATTTAAACATATTTAATAATTTGAATCGTATCTGTTTATAATAAATTTGTTTATTAAAAATTAAATTCCTTAACTTATAAACAAACTCAAAAGTATTTTCATTCTACGTATAATTACAAAACTCTTTTTTTTTTCGTTTGTAAGCAATTTAACTTAATAAAATAAAAAAAGAATAAATATGAGGTAATCTTTGTTAAGAACAAATTTAATTTATTTATTGAACTATATTTTTATTTTTAATTATATATCAACTTAATTAAAATACAGTAACATGTTAAAATATTTTAACTTGACTTGTGTTATTTATAAACCGTTGGGCAGTTGCCCTTACAACACCATTGTTTTTGGATAATATTTTATTTTGATGAAGATCACATAACTTACATTTGATTTTAATAACGTAAGTCTTCTCTTTTTCTGTGATTATCGCATCAGCAAATCATCGGCAAAGTCCCAAGATTTAAAAGTTTTTAAAGTAAACCTTTTGTCCTTCAAAATACAATCCATATTCGAACTTTAAACAATTTAGAGATATTAGAAATATACAAGGTTTTTATATACTAGTTTGTTTTGTTTTATAAAGAAAAATACATATTCATTAGTAAAAAAATGGAGACTGTCATTAAACTAAAATGTGCCTTAGTATTTATTTAAAGGAACCTGTAATGTGCATGTGCATAATGAAACCTTCGTTATATAAATATATTCAACATAATATTAGTGTCATCAGTGGATGTTGTAGTCTACCCATGATTTCTTTACCTTATAATATAACTCGATTTATGAAAAAAAAAACTTATTGAATCACACGCAGAAGAAATTTAACAAATTGTCTTCATTCAAATATTGCGAGTAACAGGTAATTTTTTTTTTGTGTGCCGACCCCCTTCCCCCGCACAACTTAAAGGTAAAGGTATCTATATACCTTTAACTAATAAGAAAAGCAAAGACATTTTTTTTAATATATCGAAAAAATGTCTTGATATTTTTGTTATCATGATAACAAAAATATTAAGACATTTTTTGAGATATTAAAAAAAATGTCAATTCTTAATTACAAATGTTTTTGCAAATGTTTTTTATTATAAATTCAGTAAAAAATTCTTAAAAAATCTATATTACAAAAAACATTTATATTCTGTATTAATAAATATGGAATATAGATATTTTAAAAGTTTTTTACTGAAAACTTTAAAAAATTACTACTTTTTATTAAAAATATTGCAAAAAATTTGTAGTTAAGGATTGACAAACAACTTTTCATGTTGCTAAATATTTGGATAAAAAGTTTAGCGTCAAATTGCTATAAAAAGGAAAGATATATCGCGATGAAAAGTTACAACAATTATTTTAAAAGTAAATTCTTTTTTTTAATAAATATCTTTACATATTGTTATTTAAAAGTTAATGTGGTTTTTTTTAAAATTAATTACTTCTTTTATGTTACCGCTAATTTAAAAGTTAAAAAATGATAAAAAGTAGCTTAACCAAAACAGCTCTACGCGTACATAAAAATCGCTTAAGGCGTACGTAAAAATTGCTCCAGACGTAACGCTTTAAAACAAGGCCTTAAAACTACAAAAATTAGCAGGCCCTATTATTATTTAAAAAAAAAAGTCTTTAAAATTATGCGATGTAGGTACTCAAATAAAGCGAAATTTTATAAAAATTTAAAAAATAATAACTTTTTCATATAAAAAATTATTATTTTAGATTTTATCAATAACTATAGTTTTTTAACTAAAAGTGAAAAAGGTGCATTTTTACATGTTTTTTAATGACAATTTTTTTTGGCAATATGATTTTTATAAAACGATTATTATTTTGAGTACCAGGTTGACCTACTTTTGAAAAACTTTATTTCTCCAAAATATTAGGATACCAGTAATTTTCCCAATAAAGTTGCGCCCTTTAAATCTATCACAATCATTCTCATATTTGATAGTATCAATATTAATAACTATTAGCAATGTTTAGAGCCTGTAACAAGAAAAAAAAATTTTATGACCCACCCTACTATACATACATATATATATATATATTTTTTATTATTTGATAGACTGCCTACCCAAACTAAATCCTCAGTCAATGTAGCGGCACTCTGTTGCGAGTTAGGCTATAAGATAGTCAATGAAGCAGTACTCCCTTGTAGCAGCGGGCTATAAGATAGTCAATGTAGCAACACTCCGCGCATGTTTTACAGTAAAAAAACAAAAATAAAATTATTTATATTATTTTATTTTAAAAAAACAAAATAAAAAAACATTCAGAATATTTTTAAAAACATATTGCAGTCTTTAAATTTGCGTTTTTGTTGTTTTTTAATCTTAATTAGCTTCCGCAATTAAATTAATACATTTTGTTATAATTTCAGTTTAAAATCTGAAGAACTGTCTGTGGTTTTTACCACAAACTGTATATCTAAGCCCTTTACTATATATATATATATATATATATATATAATATATATATATATATATATATATATATATATATATATATATATATATATATATATATATATATATATATATATATATATATATATATATATATATATATATATATATATATCAGGCTTGGTAGGGAAGCAGGAGCGATCGCTCTCAATTGGAGACCACGGAAATAATATTTAGTTGCAAAAAGCTGGCCAGATTTTTATAGTTGTTTTGAGAACATTTCCAAAAGCAAAAAAAAAGTGCGCAGAAGATTAATTGAACCGATGAGAGACAATTACAAAAAAAAAATTTGGAAAATAAAATACCTTTCAACGCGACAAAACTTTAAGCAAAATAAATTACGCTTAGAACAAATATTTTTAAAACATCGCTTTTTTATAATTTTTTATAAAATTAAGCAACGTTTTTTATATTAAGTAACATCTTACAATTGTTTAAAAAGGAAACAAATGTTCTTTATTTAACAAAGTTTGCAAGTTTTAGTTTTATCTAAGCTAAATTATTTTACAAATAAAAGTTAATTTTTGTAATACCTATTTTATGTTTCGCATAGTTTGAAAAGTTCAACATATTTGAAACAATTCTTTTTAGTATGTTAAACAAATGAAGTAATTAAATCATTGAATTACTATAGAAATTAACTAGATAAAAATCTACTAAAACGGTTAAAAATACCAGACAAGAAAGAGAAACTGCTTCTTAATATCGCTGATGATGTTTAGTGAGTGGGTTTTTAATTTTAATTAGTATTTAAAGCAGAAAAAAGTTTTACGAGTTTTTAAGAATGGCAACTTGAGCAAAAATATTTAGAGTTAGTAAACCAATTTCTAAAAACTTTTATTTGTATCTAATAACTTGCTATATATATTTTGTTATTTATATCTAATAACTTGCTATATATATATGACCTAAGGCGTGGTGCTTGTTCATCCACGAGTTTTTTTGCCTTTGTATGCATTGTTTGTGTTTAGTAACCAAAAACTTCTTATGTTTGTTACATGATTAGTTTTATTAACTTTAATGATTATTAATAACTTCATTGAAAACGCAATTATTTTTGTAAGTCTTTGTTTACAAACTAAACCATAAAAATTGCTTTAAAAGATTGCATTACGATAAAAAAAAAAAAAAAAAATCTGTTTATTTTAGCTATTTCACTGAAAAATGAAATAATAGAATAATTTTATAGGATTTGTTGCTCTTTGCCCATATGCAACCTAGATCTTTTAAATTTAGATAATTCAAACCAAAATCTACCTCTGTAATATGGCTAAATAGGTGACAGACAGCCTTAATAAAAAACAATTTCCAAATTCCATAGTCTAGTAATTCACCAGATATAAATCTAATTAAAAACATAATGGTAATCAACATGTAGAGAAATTCATAGCATGAACAAACTTGAAAAATCTAATGATTTATGCCATTAACTTTTAAGTATATGATCCTGAAATCAAGATAATGTGCCCAAAATTTAAAATTGGCACACTGAAATGTGTTAAAGAGGTTTTTAAACCAAAATGTGCATCAATGAAATGTTTGATTTAAATAATATTAAGAATTAACACAATGATTTTCACAAATCCTTATGAAATCATTGTTTTAATTGAAATAATTTGTTTTAAATGAAATAATGCATTATTGAACTGATGCAGACCAATAATAGTTTAAAGTCAGCAAAGTATTGCAAATCTTAAATTAATAAAAAATAACGCTTCCAGCTTTCTGTATTAATTTTTTTTTTAATTAAAATTAAAAATGACCATCCAAGAATGTACACACACACACACACACACACACACACACACACACACACACACACACACACACACACACACACACATAAAGATAGCATTTTATACTAACCTTTTATAGAATTTGTCTTTATTATATATCCAATAAAATAGAATATTAGTGACAAGCAAAAAATTAATGATGATACAATAATTGATGTCACACAACAGCAACACGAACTTCCTCGGTTCATAATATATTAAAAAAATAACCCATTTTTATCTAAGTAAAAGAAAATTCATAATACTAATTATTTATTTTTTATATATAAATTTACAGTCTGTATATAAATATGTTTTAAAATGTCTCCTGCATTTAAAATTGAGTTTTTTAGTATTACTAAGTACCTTGAAGGTTTATCTACTGTATGTATGGTCAAATAGCATAGATTATAGGATAAAGTCTAATAATTATAAATAAAGGTTTATTTATAAATACACTGGTCAACAAAGTTTTTTTTCAGCTGATATAATTATGTCTCTCTAGTTAATTCGAGCATGCTGAATCCAAAAATCGCATTAGTTTTTATCCTATACATCCTAATTTCTAGGAATATTTGAAAAACACTTTTAGTGTAAATGCTGCTTTACATATAAAGAAATATAAAACATGACATGAAAAAAATATGGTTACAAGTGTTTAGAAATGATGAGTGAGCTTGGACTGTCATTTATGAGTCTCTTGAATGTCTCTTTTTAAAAAACAACAATAATCGACCATCAAAGCTTCATTCCATTTGCCTTGATACCTCTTTTCCATGGTCCGAATCTCCTGATGAAACCTTTCTCCATGGTCGTTTGAAAATGCGCCTAAATTTTCTGGGAAAATGTCAAGATGAGAATCCAAGAAATGTAGCTTTAATGACACTTGACAACCCAGCTCTTGATAATGCCTCAAAGACTTTCTACCAGATTTTTGAAATCATCTGTCCTGTTGTTTCCCAAGAAGTTATGAACCACGACTTTAAATGACTGCCAAGCATTGCATTCAGCTGGTGTAAAAGTTTCCTCAAATTTCCTATATTATAGGAGCTCTCTTATTTGAGGCTCATCAAACACACCTTGTGTATTCTTTGCCTCAGAAATGATTTGAGAGAACTATGTTTGCCTCAGAAATGTTTGAGAGAACTTAAAGCCAGCACCATTTTTATTCATTGCATTTATAAAACATTTTACCAAACCCAATTTGATATGCAATGGAGGAAGCGCAATTTTCAGTGGTTCAACAAGTGGAATGTGTCTAACATTGTGGTATCCTGGGCTAAATTTTGTACATTTGGGCCATATCTTCTTCACATAATTATTTTTTGTGTCTCAGCTATCCCAGAGGAAACACATATATTTAGTGAAACCAAATTGCAGTCCAAGCAACAGGGCAACTACTTTAATGTCATTACAAACAATCCACTTGTGGTTGACATAACTAACACAGTCAAGTACAGTTTTCATTGTCTCATAAGTGTTCTGCAGTCCCACTGCATGAGCTATTGGAATGAAAGGATATTTGTTTCCAATATGAATTAATACTGCTTTTAGAGAGTTTTTTGAGGAGTCGATAAAGAGATGCCATTGATTAGAGGAATAGGCACATCCAAGTTCAGTTAACAATCCTTCAACATTCATACAAAATGTTGTTTTTTGAATTTTGTATTTTGAAAATTTGTATTTTGTTTGATGAAATATTTTGAGTATCCTTCATCTCTGTTTCAGTAAATGGTCACTCTGGTGTCAAGTGTTAGCAAGAGCCACTCTTGTAGTCGAGAACCCAGAACCTCAGCTTTTGATATTGATAGATGCAAGTCTCTGATTAGATTGCTCAGCTCCTGTTGGTTAATAAAATGTAAAGCTGATTTCATTTCAGGCATAAAGCCATCATTGTCATTTTTTTTGTTTGATTTGTCTGATGTATCAGGAGAGGGCAAGAGGTTGAATACACTTGGTGGAGTTGGAATATGCAGACTGTCACTGTGAGGTATTGGCAACTTTGCTGAATCACAAATTGGATATGTTATTTTGTCCTTTGTCTTTAGAGAATGTCCCTCAATTTTTGTTGAACAAAAATAGCATTCAGTGGTATGATCTTGTGGCTCCTTCAATATCATAGGAAAATGGCATGCCAGATGGTTTTTTTCCATCTAATTACTAATTATTTAGTCAAACATATGTAGCAGTTGGTGCAACTATACTAACGCGCCCATTTTTTGCCATGATTTCCTATCTTGAATCCAAAATAGAAGTCATAAGCAGTAAAATATATATATATGTATATATAGGGTGAGAGGGGACATTAAGCCTATATATATATATATATATATATATATATATATATATATATATATATATATATATATATATATATATATATATATATATATATATATATATATATATATATATGTACATATATATATATATACATATATATATATATATATATATATATATATATATATATATATATATATATATATATATATATATATATATATATATATATATATATATATATATATATATATATATATATATATATATATATATAGGGTGAGAGGGGACATTAAGCCCCATGTTTTCAAATACTTTTCTTTTTTCTATTTGGAAGTAAATATTAAATTCAAACTGGAAATATTTTTTAGTTATAAACAACACATATTTTTATATGTACAAAAGCTTTATCCAACAAAACTTATAGTCATAGGGTCAACCTGGGTAAAATGGGTAGCTGGAGTCAAATGGGTAAAGCAGTTTATTAATTTTGTTACAAATGCACTATTAATGTATTGAAATAAGTTTTAGTTTTTTATTATAGTGAAATAATTTTTATTTAAAAAATTGTAATTGGAAATTTGTGTTACTGCGCTGCTTATCTACAAAGTGTGCCGCCATTTTGGTTTTGGTTTCCATGTACTTTCATCAACAGGTAAAACTTTGTAAAAATGATGTATTTAACACACACAGTCACAAGTTACAGATTTTTAAGCAGGAGAAATTTCTCATTTTAGTTAATAGTAGCAGGAATGCGAAAAACCAAATTTTAAATATTAGTTGAAAAACCAGAATGGGGGAAAATGGGTATAACAAATACTAAGATAAGCTAATGCCACAGTCACAGTGATATCTAGCAGCATTTATTATTATGTAATATGAATTAAATGCAGAAATAAATGTTGCAGTTGTTTAAATCAGCAACTGTTGTTGCAGACCTTTAACAGTTGCTGATTTGATTTAAAATGCCAAGGAATTATATCTGCAAAATACAACCTAACTATACAAAGGAGGACTTGGAAAATGCAAGACTTGACATTGAACAAGGAAATTCAGTTTACAAAATTTCAAAGGAAAAGAAAATTCCATACAAAACTTTAAGAAGATGGTAGTTCAAACTCCAAAGCAAGTTGGTTCTGGACAACTCCCCATTCTTACAACTGATGAGGAATGCTTAATTGTTCGCACACTTAGTGTGCGAACAGTGACTGTGCTATTTAGCTGATAGTGGATATCCATGGGATTGTTCTGCCTTGATATTAATGGTTAAGTGTTTCATTCAAGAAACAGGAATACCTAATTCTTTCAAAGACAACTGCTCTGGTGAAGACTGGATTACTGGGTTTGAAAAGAGATGGAAACGCCTGAACTTTTAACCAAAGCAAGGGCAGAAGGGCTGACAGAAAGTGTTGTCAATGCCTTTTTTCAAATGTATGAAAATGTATTAGTTAAAAATGATCTTCTTGACAAACTGTACAGGATTTTTAATCTTGATGAAGCTGGTTTAGGGACAAACCCTATTGTTTCTAAAGTGTTTGTGCCAGTTTCATCACGTACTGCTTATCTGAAATCAGCATGTGGAGGAAAAGCAAATTACAGTTCATTTCTGTGTATCTGCCTCAGGATGGTATCTGCCTCCATTTATTGTGTACAAAGGGCTATATCTGTATAAGTCATAGACACAAGGTGGACCTCCAGGTACTTATTATGCAACAACAAAGTCAGGATGGGTGGAAGACGCTGTTTTTGACTCATGGTTTAACATTTCATTAAAAGCGTTGAACATATTGAGAAAACTGTGCTGCTCATTTATGATGGCCATGGCAGTCATCTAATTTAAGGAACAATGAAGTCCACAATGGCAAACAATATCATAATACTATGCTTACCACCTAACACAAGTCATGCTCTTCAGCCTCTGGACGTTGGGGTCTTTAGTCCGTTAAAGCTTGCATGGAAGGACATTCTGAAGAGATGGTTTAGAGAGAGTCATCTCCAGAACGTAACCAAGGAAATTTATCCTTGCCTAGTAAAGCAACTCTATGACCAATTAACAGAAAAAAATGCAGTAAGTGCATTCAGAGGTAGTGGGCTCTATCCATTGAATAAAGAAGCAGTTCGACATTGTTTCAGCTGTCAAGCCCGTGGAAAGCAATCAACAGCCAGTGGTTTCAGCTTCAAACGTTATAGCCAGAAGTACACAGACCAAGCTCAACCAAGTGTTTCACTTTTAGAGACTCTAAACACTAACAGTAACACATCTACTAAATCTCCCTTTAAAGTGCTGCAGCAGGTAATTTTGAAAACAATTTCACCAAGTTGTTTACGAAATAATATAGATGCAATTAGCAATGCTGGAAGAAAAAGAAAAAGAGTGCAGGCAAAGGTCAGAGAAGTCTTAACAACAGAGGATGTTGCGACTAGGCTGTTTAACAAAGAGAAAGGCAGATTGGCAAAAAAATCCAAAATAGCAGGTTTCAAAAATGCAAGCCAAACTAGTAGGCTTAACCAACAAACAAAAGAAATAATGACTGAAGAGATTGAGAAATTCATGAAGAAAAGGACAACTTCAATGTAATTGTTGGGGATTGGGTGCTGATAAAGTATGCCGGTAAAAACATAAACCATGAGTTCTACAGACTTGTGATTGAAACCCCAGATGAAGGCCTGTACACTGTGAAGTTTCTGACAAAGTCACCATTAGCGCTAAACTATGTTTTTCCTGAGAAGGATAACATTGATGACATTGTGGACTGTTATTACATCTTAAAGAATATTGTCACATCTTAAAGAAATTGCCACAACCTTCCTGCAATAGTCATGAACAATACAATAACCCTTAGCTAGATTGATTTGTGAGACTTGTTTAATCAAGTAAGCGTTAAACTATACAAATTTTGTGGATAATCCTTTCTCAAATATACATATGTACACTTTCCACACATTTTGATAACAAAAAGTGTAATTTTGTTTAAATTTGAATAAAATTT